ATGATGATAATGATGATGTTGATGATAATGAATTTTGTTAATACCCAAAATCAATTGTCAAAGCTTACTGTAAATCAAGCATAAAATCTCCCAATATTTCGAAACTTCAAGGACATGTTATGTCATGACAATGCTTCAGCAGCCCCTCATGCTCCAATGAAAAGTCTCTCAGTCCCAGCTTGAGACCAGAATTGATTTGTGTTCTTGAATAACAGTGTTGAAACTGAAACACCAATGTAATGCTTCATTTCTCATCCACTCTAATTTTCAGGGTGTGGTCATAGCATTTGATAAAAATTCCCCCAAAGTCCAGAAGATAAAATCAAACTGTGACGCAATGCACCTGAAAAACGTTCACGCTTTTCACTTTGACGCTATCAAATCTCTGGATCCAACATTACAATCAAGACAAATCAACCCAGAAGATGTTGGTCACCCTCCCTACCCCCCACAGTCGTTTGACCGCATACTTCTTGATGCACCTTGCAGTGGACTAGGACAGAGACCGATGTCTATAGTGCGCATGTCTCTCAAGGATCTTCAGTCCTTTCCTAGACTACAGAAGAAAATATTTCCTGCTGTAAGTGATTGATCGCGGCAACTGCAACAACAGAAACAACAGCAGCAACAACATTAACAATAGAAACAACAACAGCTCCGGAAACAGCAGCAGCAGCAACAGCAACAGCAATGATAGCAGTAGCAGGAACAACAACAGCAACAGCAACAACAGCAGGAACGACAACAACAACAACAACAGCAACAACAACACTTTCTACGATCGCTAGGACCAATATAAAAATTTATGATTTTGTCATTTTGTCATTCAGGCGGTTGGTTTGTTGAAGGAAGGAGGTGTTCTTGTCTATTCTACTTGTACAATCACCTCACAAGAGAATGAAGAGCTCGTGGCCTGGGTACTAACAAACTTTCCCTGCATGCATCTTTGCCCTCAGGTCAGTCACGTGATATGTTACCATGGTTTCGTAGCAAAGCAAAAATGAACTGGACCTAGATTATTGACATTAAAGAAAACCTTCCTTTATATTAATACCCTGAAACAACCTCTGGGCTGAACAAAGTCAGGACACGTCGAACAACCTCTGGGCTGATCTAAGTCAGGGCACGGCTAACTCACAGATAGAACCTTGAAACAACCTCTGGGCTGAACAAAGTCAGGACACGTCGAACAGTCTCTGGGCTGATCTAAGTCAGGGCACGGCTAACTCACAGATTGAACCCTGAAACATCCTCTGGGCTGATCTAAGTCAGGGCATGGCTAACTCACAGATCGAACCCTGAAACATCCTCTGGGCTGATCTAAGTCAGGGCACGGCTAACTCACAGATAGAACCCTGAAACAACCTCTGTGCTGATCTAAGTCAGGGCACGACTAACTCACAGATAGAACCCTGAAACAACCTCTGGGCTGATCTAAGTCAGGGCACGGCTAACTCACAGATAGAACCCTGAAACAACCTCTGGGCTGATCTAAGTCAGGGCATGGATAACTCACATATCAAACCCTGAAACAATCTCTGGGCTGGTCTAAGTCAGGGCATCGTTAACTAGAAGATCGAATCGGAGTTTAGCGTGTTAAACGGAGAGCCCGTAGAAAAAAATCGCAAGTCTAGGTATCGAACCCGTTTTGCGCATGCTCGCGAAAACTCTAATGAATATCGAAGGACATTAAGCGGGACTTCTGCCGAAAAAAGTGTTCATAACGCTTCATTTCTAATGCAAACATTTCTGTCGTCAAACAGAATCCATTTCTTGGGAGCCCAGGCCTCGCGCACTGTGGTCTTACAGATGAAGAAAGGAGACTGGTCCAGAGGTTTGACCCCACTACTACTCACAGTACCCCCCCACGGGAGCCATGTGACGTCGATACTATTGGATTTTTTATCGCGAAGTTTGTCAAGAAAACTGTTGGCTAGTGGTGAGTAACGTATTTATATAACGTTTGTGTTTGAATATTTTTTGTAAAGCTTTGTTCGTATTTCACATTTCGTGTTTGTACTAGAGAGGTTGAATGATATAGGTGTCCGTATTATAGAGGTTACGATAGATACAGGTGTTTGTACTAAAGAGGTTAAATGATATAGGTGTCCGTATTAKAGAGGTTACGATAGATACAGGTGTTCGTACTAAAGAGGTTGAATGACGGAAGTGTCCGTATTAGAGAGGTTACGATACATATAGGTGTTTGTAATAGAGATGTTGAATGATGTCGGTGACGTAGGTGTCCGTATTAGAGAGGCTACTATAGATACAGGTGCTTGTACTAAAGAGGTTGAATGATATAGGTGTCCGTCAGAATAATTAGACTTGCACGCCTAGTAATCTGGTATTTTATTAATATCCCGATAAAAAGGACTTCCTTTTTGCAACACTTTAATTTGTGGTGATAAGAGAATGAAAAGAAGATATACGAGATTCTTATCTTTTGTAATGGCCTTTTTTTCACTATAAACACATTTTTTTCGGAAGCTTTTCTGTGGCGACTTTTTTTTCTACCTTACTTTCTGTCATAAATAGTAATGTGTGGTTTCATTTTACACCTTTATCCTTCAAATTACGACGTTCTAATTTTCGTGATTGATGCTTCCTTGAGGTAAGCTGCTCCGCTTCCTCTATCAGTGAAGATAATATCACGTTTAGACTTACCCAACGACAAGTAAGAAAAATCTTCACTCAGTCTAGTTAACAGTGTCTAGTTCTTAAAAATATATTTTCTTTAAACACCAAATGTGTAGAAAGCGCGCGCTTATCGCATAAACTGATTTGGAGTTGGATTTAACCGAGAAAATGAATGACGTCTTCTTACATTATATTTGTTTACACATTAAATTGGATATTTGTCGAACAATTTTGTTCTAAAAATGCTTTTAAAAACAAACTACGATCAATTGAATCAATTTGGTCATACTTTTTTCTTCAAGGTATTCTGAAAAAAAAAAAACGCTTTACGAAGTCTAGGAATATGCTAGATATTATAATTGGGCTTAGGTTATAGATGAAGTAACTCTGGCCGTCGTCGAGGGAATTATTTGTAATGGATGTTTATTAGAATGGCCCGCCACAGGCAACCTAGTAATTATTTTCTTTGGTTCTCGTCGAAAAATAAAAATTAATGCAAAGTTCATAAATAAACTGGGAAAAAAAGGGGAAAAAAATTGCTTCTAAGCTTTGCTTTCCTGGTTTAATATGGTTTAATATGGCTTACTTTGTCCAATTCATTTCCAAATTTCGTTGCAGTTTTTTGTTCGCTTTCGTTGCCCGAGTGTCAACAATTTTCACTCAAATATTGACGTGCAAAACGGTCGCAATGATTTCCGCCAAAGCTGTACTTCCCTGGTCTACAAGCCATCGGGTTATTACCCTTACTACCGATTACTTAGCTCAATATATTTTCACATTTTTTTTGTACATTTTTCTCATTCACTTTCGTTGCCTGAGTGTCACAATTTTCACTCAAATTGACGTGCAAAATGTTTGCATTGCAAATACCAGCGTTCATTTTGCCTGGTGAAAAATATCACCCGAAATACGTCAGTACAAATTCACTTTTTCTACTCAAATTGAAGTGCAAAATGGTCGCAATAACCTACCTGTCGTAACGCTGTAATACGTAATACAACACCAATTGACAAACATCATACGGAGAGTAAAGACAGTCATGACAGCTAGATTTACATGGGAAGTCACCTTTCGTTCTTTAATCATTTTATTGCATAGCTAATGCTTGTACATTTCCCTTACATTTCCGCCTCACTGAAGACTGAACCTTAATTGAAAACAGGAGAAGTAATATGTCACGTGAGATGTAATCGACACCCAGAAATCGCTTACAAGAAAGGGTGTCTAATGTAAGTTTAAGACACTCTATTTTCGCTGGAGTATTGATCGAGCGGCAGTCAAAGAAAATCCAAGCATAGCGCATACTTACGGGTGCTTTGATCCAAGATGAGTAAYTTTACATTGAATGGCACAGAGAGTAAAGTAACAGAAGCAGTTTGCTTTTTGCACGATTCTACTGGAGCCAAAACAGGGCGCGTTATACCTTATTGCTTTATCATTCCTCTATCTCTGGTTAGCAACTCTTTAGTTGTTGCGATAGTCTGTAAAGACAGACGCATGCATAAGACAGTGAATTTCTTCATCGTCAACATGAGTATCGCTGATCTTCTTGCCACCGTCGTCTACATGCCAAGGGTCGTGTCGATCTGGTTAGCGGGTTATGAATGGCAAATTGATGGCATAGCTGGCTTCATCTTTTGTAAAATGTCCGTCTGTTTGAATCAAACCTCAATCGCAGTTTCCATCTTCACCGTCGTAGCGATAAGCTTGGACAGGTTCTTTGCAGTGGTGTTCCCACTTCGCGTCTTTATCACAGACAAGATTTCCCAGATAATCATCCTATGTATTTGGATGGCCGCACTTCTGGCAAGTTTTCCTCAGTTCTACGGAATCAAAACGATGCGCAACAATGGTTTACTCTACTGCTTTCTCGAGCTTGACAAGATCTTTGGCGAAGGAGCGGCGACTGCGTTCTATATGTTCATCATGCTGGGGTTATTTGCAATACCACTTGCCATCACCGTGATACTTTATTCCGCTATTTTGATTGCGCTGTTGAAGCGGCGTAGAGTTATCGGCGATGCATTATCCAACAACGATGATAGACTACGAAGACAGGAGCGCACGAGGAAGAAAGTTCTGAAGATGGTGTCCATGGTTGTTGCGTGCTTTATTCTCTGCTGGTTGCTGTACTTCATTCATTCCATTCTTTATTCCTACAAGATCATTGTCCCCTGTACAGTCTTGTACCTAAGGCTCCTGTTAGCGCACCTGAACAGCATCGTTAACCCGTTCATTTATTGGTTTTTTAATGAGAACTTTCGTCGTGGTTTTCGCAGTATTTTTGCGCACTCTTTTCCTGGTGTTGCTCTTTCTCCCCGAGTCTTTCCTCTCAACAGCGCGCAACAGACGAACGATACTTGCTCTAGCGCACGAAGAGCTAGAATCGGAGAGACAAGCAACGGAAGAGGCGAATAAAATACCTTTGAATCTGGACCTCAAAGAAGACGATGGTCAGCTTAGCTAAAAAGCCGTAGAGTAAAAAGAAAACTGCACCCTTGAAGAAACTTTGACCTTCGTGCAACAGACGAACGATACTCGATCCGGCACACGAGGAGCTAGAATCGGAGAGACAAGCAACGAAAGAGGCGAATAAAATACCTTTGAATCTGGACCTCGAAGAAGGCGATGGTCAGCTTAGCTAAAAAGCCTTAGAGTAAAAAGAAAACTGCGCCCTTGAAGAAACTTTTGACCCTCGTTATATAATCTAATCTCTTCCTGAAGTTAATGACTGTCGAGTCAATTTGTATCATCATGTTACTAATAGTCTTTCAACGCCTTTTGCGGTACAATTCGTAAAAGGCTTAATAGGATTGATTATATTTAAAATTCAACGATTTTGTTGGTGGAATAGTGAAAATAGGCTTTTTAGGAGCTGAGACTGCGCAGTGAAAACAACGGATAGCAAGACGGTCTTCTTTTATGTTACATTAAGTTCGGCTCACGTGAAGTTCAAAACTTTTATCCCTTGCTTTTATGTGGGGTAAATATGATTGCTATTCATAGCCAGGCCTATTCATCAAAAACTCAAATAGCAGCATTAAAAAACTCCAACATTCTGTAAATAATGAAGTATTTTGTATTGTCTACAGCGCCATCTAGCTGCTGGAAATGGCGCTATATACTATTATTAGAAGGAAATGAATAGTACAAAAAGTAAACGGTTGCTCTGGGCACGTCGTGTGTTTAAACCTCCTTTTTTTCTTTTTCTTTTCTTTCTTTTTTTTTTTTTTTTTTTNTTTTTTTTTTTTTTTTTTTTTTTTTTTTTTTTTTTGAGACCTAGGCGAACAACAAAACTACGAGATTGAAAATTAAAGATTTGTGGACTAATTGTTTTGTATATTTAACCATTTGTTTAGCTGCAGGTCAATCAAACTTCATCAGAATACGAAATAAATGCTTTTTTTAATTGAAAATTTGGGATTATTGAATATGCGTACAAATGGTAAAAGATTGCTTTTGACATGGACCGGCGCGCATTAGAATGCTTACATACCTTACCATTTATTACACTGCGTGACCCTAAACCCCCACAAGTCATAGATTGAATGCTGGACGCACATTAGTTACGACATTAACTGAAAACACTATATAGATCATTAACAGATACCCAACTTGGCTCAACGACAGATGGCTAAGTGCTTTTATATCAAAGGATGTACATTGAAAGATTTAAGACTATAATTTAATAATATAGACTAGATGATGTTTTGCTTAGTAAAAACGTCTTGCAACGTGGACGCATTAGATTAGAAAAGATAAAGTAAAACATGAATAAATAAGAATAATTCAAAATGCAAATGTTGGCAAACAGATTTTATTCTTGGTCAGCTTATTTTTTCTGTTTTTTTTTTTTAATGTCAAGTCAAATTTACGATTTTTACTCTTAGAGATGGTGCGCTTAATACTCTTATTTTCCCTTATATTTATGCTTTGTACATCACAAACGGTTTTAATCCCCCCCTTGAGTATAAAAGACAAAAACAAACAAAAAACAAAACAAACAAAAACAAAAAAAAAAAAAAAAAAAAAAAAAAAAAAAAAAAAAGAAAGAAAAAAATCAAAAGAAAGAATAAAATAAAATAAATAGGTAATGAATTTTAAATGTCAAAGTTTATTAGTAGTTTTAACACGTTTGTGCAGGTGCTGGCAGATTGGCGATGAAGTAAGAATGAGATAAATTTGATTGTCAATCTCTTGTCACTCAAAAATGCAAAATCTGTTCTGCTCTCCTCTCCTCTCCTCTCCTCTCCTCTCCTCTCCTCTCCTCTCTTCTCCTCTCTTCTCCTCTCCTCTCCTCTTCCCATCTCTTTTTCCCTTTATTTAGGAGCAGGCGTAGCTCAGGTGGCTATTACGCTGCGCGGCCTTCGGAGCTAGAGGTCTTTTCTACTTATCTTTCTTCTTATGTATAAGAAGCACTGATAGTTTGAGAGGGTAAAGAGCGCACCTTCAAACGCTTTATACATGCAAGYCCTGCCTCGGGAGAACTGGACAACCATTCCCTACAGTTCCGCAGTAAAATAAATGACTTTTCCCTCTTTAATTTTGACCTTTCTAAAATTGCAATAAGATATTGTTGTCGTCCATATTGACAGATAAAGATGACAGTTACATGACAAGTTTTAGTCTTTGATTCGAGATGTGTTTACTAACATTTCATTTTGTCATTAATCACTCACGTTCCTAAGTGATTTTATTCGATCAAGAGCAATAAAAATAAATATGGTCGCAATAGGAAATAAAAAGCCAAGTGTTTCACAATGGATCGAGATTTAAGAAATGGCTGGTTGTTCGTATTATAGAGGTCTTGATAGTTAATGATCGATCGTATTATAGAGGTCTTGATAGTGAATGATCGATCGTATTATAGAGGCCTTGATAGTGAATAATCGATCGTATTATAGAGGTCTT